AAGCTCAAGGGCCGGACTTGGGTGTTTTTTTCAAATAACTTCAGGCATATCCCAGCCTGACCCATCAAAGCCTAGTAGGCTAAGGTCAAGGTTATCAAAACTACGGGCCATCCCGGCCCATTCTAAACCCCTTACATAAACCTTTTTTTTTTTCTTTCATTTTTTTTTTTCTTTTTTTTTCTTTAACAACTTTATAAAAACAAGTCATTTATTCTATGTTCACATACAAATCTTTTTAAGAATTCGTTTGGCATAACTTTTACTTCTACTTTTAAACAAATAAAAAAGAGAAACAGAAGTTATCACTTTCATTTGACTTTTATACATGTGTTAAACACACAATTGCTATTCTAAAGCTAACTTGAGTTTTTTTAAAATATCTTCAGACATATCCCTGTCTAACCAATCAAAGTCGGGCGGGCTAAGGTCAAGGTTATCAAAATTGCGGGCCATCCCGGCGCGTGCAAACCCCCTTACATACATATCAAATCTGCGTCATGAGATATGATTGGCAATGTCTCTTTGAAAGAACATAAAAGAGTTCAAAGAGCATGATGAAAAGGACATTTTCTCAACAGTTTTATTTTTTCTTTTTTTTTTTCACCGTTTTGACTTTTGCTAATGGGGGCAATCTATAGTACACGATGGGTCAAGTTTCTACATGGAACTGGACTTGGTAAGGAACAAAAGGTGTTTCGTTGAAAGTTTCACTTTCCCACTAAAGCGTGAATGTGCTCATGAATTGATCAACAATTTCTCTCTCACAAATGATTTCTAGAATATGGGGATAGTGAATCCTGTTGGGTTTATTTCCTTCTATGTGGAGGAAAGCCCAAATGGGTTTTATTAAAGCCCAAAGCTTAGCCTTTTAGGGTGACTAACCCTAAGGAAGTCAAGAAAAATAGAGGATGTGAGATCAGTCGTAGCTTTCCTAAGAAAGAGAGGAAAAACGCAGTTTTTTCATATACTGCCCAGATTTCATCAAAACTCCGATCCCGCTTCGTCCGTGGTCCGATCGAGCTGAAATTTGGAGGAGAGGTTCACGACTCAATGAGCTACAATCTGAATGGTGGAGATTGGATTTTGAGCTCGGGAGTTGGGGTTCTTGCCCATGAACAGTAACTGGGTTTATGGTATATTCTCTCAAATTCTCTTTGTTTTTTGCTAAGATTGGTGATATTTTGATGAGATGTATTGTAACCTCTAATTGTGATTAGAGAAGACTTTGCATACCCATTATTTGGTTGATAGTGGATGTTTCAACTGGACTAGGTCCCGTGGTTTTTCTTCCTTACACTGGGGAAATTTTCCCTGTAAAAAATTGCTTGTGTTCTTGTGACTTGGTGTAATTGATTATATTTTTATTATTTTCAGCACATATAAAACTAGAGATACACTATATTTACTTACATATAGGGAGAAGCGTTATTCCGCTATATTTGTTTATTGTTATCTCTCCCAACAAAGTGGTATCAGAGCACCAGGTTGACAGAATGCCTGGTTGGCAGTCTGAGTTATGGAAGCAAATACGAGTCGAATGATTAATCTCAAAGGTTCAAATTATCACATATGGAAAGGAAAAATGGAGGATCTTCTTTATGTGAAAGATTATTACCTATTGGTGTTTAGTGCTGAAAAACCAAAAAACACAAGTCTGATGTGGAATGGACTTTGTTACATCGACAGGTGTGTGGGTATATCAGGCAGTGGGTAGATGATAATGTTTTGAACCATATTAGTGGAGAGACAAATGCACGTTCTCTATGAAGTAACCTTGAATAACTACATGCTAGAAAAACTGGAAATAATAAATTATTTCTGATTAAGCAGATGATGGCTTTGAGATATCAGGATGGGACTCCTTTATCTGATCACCTGAATACATTCCAAGGAATTATTAATCAGCTGGCTGGAAGGGTATTAAGTTTGATGATGAGATACAGGGGTTATGGTTGCTAGGTTCATTACCGGACTCATGGGAAACGCTCAAAACTTCATTATCTAGCTCCGCTCTAGAAGGTGTAATCACAATGGATATGGCCAAGAGTTGTTTGCTAAATGAAGAGATGAGAAGAAAAACATAGGGATCCTCTTCACAGTCAGAGATCTTGGTTACAGAAAAGAGGGGGAGAAGTAAGAATAAAGGTCCGAAGAACAGAGATAACAACAGAACCAAGTCCAATAAGTTTGCAAATGTTGAGTGTTATCATTGTGGGAAAAAGGGACACATCAAGAAATATTGCAGGCAATTGAAGAAAGAAAACAAGAATGAGAAAGGAAGGGAACAAAGAATGGAGATGACAAAGATGGTAATGACAGAGTTGCTACCACCACTACTACAGACTTCCTCATTGTTTATGATGATGAGACAATAAATGTTGCATACCATGAGACTAGTTGGGTGATTGAGAGTGGTGCTTCCATTCATGCTACATCTCAGAAGGATTTCTTTATATCTTATAAATCTAGTGATTTTGGAACAATAAAGATGGGCAACGATGGCTTGGTTAAAGCCATTGGAATTGGGGATGTGTATCTAAAGACGAATAATGGCACAAGGTTAGTTCTTAGAGATGTGAAGCATATTCCTGACATTCGTTTGAATTTGATTTTTGCAGGTAAACTTAATGATGAAGGGTATTGCAGCACTTTCAGTAATGGCCAGTGGAAGCTCACTAGGGGTGCTATGGTTGTGGCTCGAGGCATGAAGCATTTTGCACTATACGTTCTGTAAACAAAGATCTCCAACGACATTGTTAATGCGATAGAGGATAATGATACAACAGAGTTGTGCCACAAGAGACTGGCTCACATGAGTGAGAAATGATTAGCTCTACTAGGGAAGAAAAGTCTACTATGTGGACTAAAAAGTACACTTCTGAAAAGGTGTACTCATTGTTTGTTAGGGAAGCAGAGCAGAGTCTCCTTCAAGAATTCCCCTCATTCAAGAAAGTCAGAGATACTGGATTTGGTACATTCAAATATGTGTGGCCCTATGAAGACGAGAACACTTGGTGGCTCCAGATACTTTGTGATGAGAACACTTGGTGGCTCCAGATACTTTGTGACCTTCATAGATGACCATTCAAGGAAGTTGTGGGTATATACCTTGAATTCAAAAGATCAAGTGTTGGCAGTGTTCAAGCAATTTCAAGCCCTAATTGAGAGATAGACTAGGAAGAAACTAAGATGCATTCGTACTGATAACGACGGAGAGTATTCTGGTCCTTTTAATGAGTATTGTAGACAGCAGGGTAGTCGGCATCAAAAGACAACTCTAAAAACTCCTCAGTTAAATGGCATATCAGAAAGGATAAACAGGACACTGGTTAAGAGAGTGAGATGTTTGCTTTCACAAGCCCAGTTGCCAAAATCCTTTTGGGGGGAGGCATTGAGTACAGTTGTTCATATGTTGAATCTTACACCCTGTGTTCCTTTACAGTTTGATGTGCCAGATCGAGTTTGGATAGGTAAGGATGTTTCCTATAATCATCTGCATGTTTTTGGGTGCAAAACATTTGTGCATATTCCAAAAGATGAAAGGTCCAAACTTGATGTGAAAATGCGACAGTGTATATTCCTTGGCTATGGCCAAGATGAGTTTGGGTACAAGCTTTATGATCCAGTTGAGAAAAAAATTGTGAGAAATAGAGATGTCTTGTTTATAGAAGATCAGACGATTTAGGATATTGATAAAACAGGGAAATTTATATCTCAGCAAGGTGATATCTTGACTGATGTGGATCCAACTCCTCTAAAGAATCTGCCATTTCAGGTTGAGAATGATGTTCAGGATGACCACCAGTGTACAGGTGATGTGGATGTTCCCCTACAGGTTCAAGGAGATGTTGAGACTGATGAGCAGTTGATAGCGCCAGAGATTCCATCCAGGAAGTCTGCCAAAAGATCGACATCCTTCTACTTGGTATTCAACAGAGCAGTATGTGTTATTGACTAACGAGGGAGAGCCCCAGTGCTTTGCAGAAGCCATAAAAGATGAACACAAGACAGAGTGGGTTGAGGCCATACAAGATGAGATGCAGTCATTGCATGATAACTACACCTTTGAGTTAGTAAAGCTACCTAAAGGAAAAAAAGCTTTGGAAAACAAGTGGATTTACAGGAAGAAGCCAAATGGGTTCTCTTCACGGCCACGGTACAAAGCTAGATTGGTTATCAAAGGGTTCGGTCAGAGAAAAGGTATTGACTTTGATGAGATTTTCTTTCCAATCGTAAAGATGTCATCGATCCGTATAGCACTCAGCCTAATAGCTAGTCTTGACTTGGAAGTTGAGCAGATGGATGTGAAAACTACCTTCCTTCATGGTGATTTGGAAGAAGAGATTTATATGAAGCAGCCAGAGGGTTTCAAAGTAAAAAGGAAAAAGGATTATGTGTGCAAGCTGAAGAAAAGCCTATATAATTTGAAACAAGCACCGAGACAGTGGTATAAGAAGTTTGAGTCTGTTATGGGGGAGCAAGGTTACAAGAAGACAACTTCTAATCACTGTGTATTTGTTCAAAAATTCTCTGATGATGATTTTATTGTTCTACTGCTTTATGTGGATGACATGTTGATTGTTGGCAGGAATGCTTCAAGGATTGACCAGTTGAAGAAGCAATTGAGTAAGTCATTTGCTATGAAGGATTTGGGGCCAACAAAGAAAATTCTTGGCATAAGAATTAGTAGTGACAGGAGTGCCAAGAAGTTATATTTGTCACAGGAGGAGTATATTGAAAAAATTCTTCAGAGGTTTAATATAGACAACACTAAAGTGGTTAGCTTTCCTCTTGCTACCCACTTCAGACTGAGTACAAAGCAATATCCTTCTACAGATAAGGAAAATGAAGACATGGAAAGAGTTCCTAACGCTTCAGCAGTAGGAAGTTTGATGTATGCAATGATTTGCACAAGACCAGATATAGCCCATGCAGTTAGTGTAGTTAGCCGATTTTTGTCAAATCCGAGAAGAGAGCATTAGAATGCAATGAAGTGGATCATGAGGTATCTTCGAGGCACTTCCCATTTGCGACTTGGTTTGGGAAATGGACAACCATTATTAGTTGGCTACACAGATGCAGATATGACAGGGGATGTGGATACTCGTAAGTCTACTTCGGGTTATTTGATCACTTTTGCAGGTGGGGTTGTAGGTTGGCAATCGAGACTCCAAAAGTGTATTGCTTTTCACTACAACAAATTTGGGCTCTTGCCACGAAATTTTTTGCCAAGCATGAAATTTTGTGGCAAAAAGTATCTTTTGGCCACAAAATTAATTTCTTGTGGCTAATATATGAGTATTTACCACCGAGTAAATTTTTCGTGGCAAATACTAGTTCTTGCCACAAATATTAGGGACAACCTTAAAATTTGTGGTAAAATATCAATTTTGCCACGACGAATTAGGGACGATATACAAAGTTTTGGCAAAATGCTATATGTGCCACGAATTACCATTCATGACAATTGTATGTTTCTTTTGCCACGTATATATTTTCGTGGCAAATTAATTTACAATTTGCCACGATGTTATTCTCGTGGCAAATATAATTTTTTGGCACAAAGTTTTTTTCTCGTGGCTAAAAGATGGATCCTGCCACGAATTATTAGTTGTGGCTATGATATGCTCTATTGGTACAAAACTATTTTCATGCCAAATATATTAGATATTCGCAACGATGCTTTATTCGTGGCAAATAGTATCTTTTGCCACGAATTTTCAATCCTTGTGGCGAAATGCCATTTTTGCAATGAATTTGTTTTCGTGGCAATTAGGAACTATTTTGCTACGAATTTTCAATACTTGTGGCGAAATGCCATTTTTGTAACAAATTTGTTTTCGTAACAATTAGGATATCTTTGTTGACTATTATTATTAATATATTTATTTAGTTTTTGTAATTCCTTAAATAAGTGGCCTAGAACACCAAATCCCTAGGCAAATTAATTAATTGTTAATAAAATTGCAAAATGATATTTCCTTTAAATTTGACCCTTTTTAAATAGCACTCCTTGTCATACAGAAAAGATTAAAAAAAAAAAAACCGTACTAAACATTCTTAAATTGAATTTAAATTAATCATTATATATATATATATATATATATATATATATAAATCCATAATGCAATATTTTTAAGTAATTAAAAATTAAAGATATAATAAAAAAATTTATAGATAATATATCAAATCTTGAATAAATTTACAATTTCAAAATTTTACTTCTATTTAGTAAGGGTATAAAAAAAGATTTAGTGATTTAGGAATTAAATGGAACAAAAGATCTTAAAAGTACGTAGGATTTTGTTAGCACAAAACCTTTAACCAAAGACAATCTAGTGATTTTGAAGATTACAAATCATTAATGGTTGAAGATACAAGAAATTCCTTTTCCCTTTCTCTCTCTAGAATTCCTATATTTCAACCAAAAAAATATCTCCTCCTTCTTTCCATTACTTCTCCTATTTATAGATATTTACAAATGTTGATGGACTGCTGGATCTAGGCCCGTTCCTCCATGAGTCCTGGTCATCTTTGGTGGGCTTATGCGCGTTCGGCCCATATGGCAGTGTCTTTCTATGGGCCTGACCCATCTGTACGGACTGAATGTCGCGTTTGCAAGTCATATCCGGCCCATGTCATCTCGGGCCTCCTCAACTGCCCCCATAATTACCCCTTGTTTAATAAGGGGGTAATTATTGAAGGCGTCTCATCATGACGTTGACGGCTCGAGAAACCCACATGGGGGAACGGACGGTCAGATCCAGAATTAATGCTCCGGGGCTCGATGAATTTCTCGCCTTCCTGACGCTTCGGCCCTCGGGTCCCCCTCGCCTTTATAAGGCTCTAGAATACCACTTCATGCCTTTTTACCGTCTCCATCATCAGTCAAATCTCTCTCTTTTTAGAACAGTGCTAAGCTTTTTCCGGTGAAATCCTTCAAGAGTCATTCTTCCAGCGGTCTTGCAGTGCTCTTTGTTGCTTTCTACCTCAGAGGTTAGTTTTGTTCCTTTTTACTTTCGGCAGGCTTCTTTTTACCCTTTTAGATCCTTCAAACACTTCCACCATGGTTGTAGATCTAGATGTTCTTCGTATGAGACTTAGACTTCCTGACAACATCCAAGTTAGGGTTTGCCCTAAGGATGTTAATATTATGACCGGCGCCGGCCTCCTTCCCGGCAAAGTTTTATTTTCAAACCTTCAACTGAATGTCGTTAGGTTCCCTCTGCACCCCTTCTTTAATTATGTCTTCAATAGACTAGGGATATCCCCCCTGCAGGTAAACCCCAATTTCTTTAGAATCATATCCGTTATGCTTCTGTTGATTCGTGACAGAAGTCTGGACCTTGACCTCATAGATCTTCTTCTGTGTTATAAGGTCAGTAAGATCCGAACTAACGAGCCCTTCTACCATCTCTACCCGATCGAGAAGATGTCCATATGTACGGACACAATCAAATCTGAAAAGGGTTGGAGGGATAACATCGTGGGCATTAGTGGGGCTTGGTCTTCGCCGGCTGCAGAGGATTACCCAATCCCGAGCGCCTTTGGCGTCTGTTCTGTTTCCTCATATAAGAAATTCAAATCTCACAAAAACGATTGCCCCTGCGAAACATGTGTTCCTCGCTTTTGTACTTTCTTATGCCGCTCCTTAGGAATACCTTGTGATGACTTGAGCTACAGTGTTTGCAGGGATAGGAGTAATTACTTGAAGAAATACGTTCTGAATGATATTCCTTCCTGCTCAGACCTCCTCACTTCAGACAACCTCCTAGCACTCTCATCCCTCGGCTATACCATGAGCAGGCTTCAGATTCCCTCCTTTGGCAGGAAGAAAAATACTCCCCCAGCCACTTCTGCTGCTGGGGCAACCTCCTCTCCTGCATCAGCCTCTTCCTCAGCCACCATCTCTGACACCATCCCGAGCACGGTGGCTATTGACTCTGTTGTCAGCACCCCTGCTACCAACCCGAGCGCATCTCCACAAATCACTACAGCCCCTGCTGCCGCTGGGGGCGCTCGGGACAAAGAACGAGGCAAAAGGCCTCATCCTGACAGTGGAGTCGACCCTGAGGAGGAACCTCTCATAAGAAGGACCTGGGTCTCTGGGCCGAGTGCTCTCTTGCATCGCCCGGTCAGAGCTCCTGCCCCCTCTGGGCCTGTTGTAGCTGGTGCCTCTGCTTCTGCTTCAGCCTCCCCTTCTCTTCCCACTTTACCACCTTGGGCTCCTCGGTACACCCGAACGGATGGGACGTTCGTGAAGCCGAACGAGACCATGCTAAAGGATGGCCAAACCGCCATGGCGTATTATAGGAGCATGTGGACTCCGAAAGACCTTGAGGCGGCGAAAGGTCTATCCCAAAAGGATGTGTTCACCCGCTTTCCCCAATCTGCCATGGTGGTGACTTTTATTTTCTAACTCATGAATCCTCTCATATTATTTGGTCTTGCCTTCGTCCGACCAGACTATCGGTTTGACCATTATTAATGTATATCTATGCAGACTTTGTTCGGAATGATGGCTATGCAGAAGCAGGTTGAAATGGGGAACGCCAGGGCTCGTAAGTTTTCTGACAGCCTGGAGGTGGCCAATAAGGAAAACGACCTTCTCGCCAGTAAGAATACCGAGGTATTGGTTCGGCTTGAAAAAACCGAAAAAGAAAGAGATGTCTTGAAGAAGGAGAACGACTCTCTTCAGGATGAGAAGGATGCCCTCCAGCTTGAAAAGAGCGTCTGGCAGACTGAGCGTGATTCAATCAAAGACGAAAAGGCAGAGCTCCAGCGCCTTCTGGCTGATGAAAAGTCTGCTCGGATGGCTTTTGAGAAGAGAGCTCTGGACGAGCGTACTGCTCTGATTGATACCATCAGCAGAGTGAACGGTGGGATGCTGGCTCTTCATACTCGGTTCTCAAGGGTCGGCACTCTTAGATATGCTCAAGGATTCCGAGAAGGTTTCTCCGACCGAGTTCCGGATGAGGGACAGACCAGCTCAACTCCACATGAGGTCGATAAGGATTTAGGAATTGACCCTCTGGGGGTCTATGTTGACCCAGAACCCACCAAAGCGGAGCATATATTTGATGAGTGCCAGGACATTGCTTCCTCTAGGATAACTACAGCTCCTCCTACCGCTCTACCACTAACCGCTCCTCAATCGTCAACTGTGGTACCTCCCATAACCACTGCTGACGGTAGCCCCCAGCAGAATGACTCTGTTATTCATCTTGATTCCCCACCTCGTGAGGGTGAGATGGCTGATGGGACCGAGGAGGCGGGTCGGCATAACCAGGAGGCTGTCGGTACTGAAGCAGCTAGCTAGGGCTCCTCCGGACTCTTCGATTCCATACTTTTTTGTAACAATGTGACTTGAATATTTCATTTTTTGTAAATCCAATGCTTGTTATGAATGAGATGACAGAACTCTTTTTCTCTTTTTCCTTTGTGTTGCGCTCTGTTCAAACCCATTTTCAATATATATATACCTTTTCTCTCTTTTCTTTTATATTAACTTTGTCGTGTGCTTGTTTATGGCAAGTGATTGGCGTTCGGCTTGCGGTGCCAGCTGCCACTTATCTTGCTCAAGTGCCTGGCGCTCGGCTAGAATGCCACTTGCCACTTGGCTTTTTTCATTTTTTTTAGCAAGTGTCTGGCGTTCGGCTTATGGTGCCAGCTGCCACTTATCTTGCTTAAGTGCCTGGCGCTCGGCTAGAATGCCACTTGCCACTTGGCTTTTTTCATTTTTTAGCAAGTGTCTGGCGTTCGGCTTATGGTGCCAGCTGCCACTTATCTTGCTTAAGTGCCTGGCGCTCGGTTAGAATGCCACTTGCCACTTGGCTTTTCATTTTTTAGCAAGTGTCTGGCGTTCGGCTTATGGTGTCAGCTGCCACTTATCTTGCTTAAGTGCCTGGCGCTCGGCTAGAATGCCACTTGCCACTTGGCTTTTCATTTTTTAGCAAGTGTCTGGCGTTCGGCTTATGGTGCCAGCTGCCACTTATCTTGCTTAAGTGCCTGGTGCTCGGCTAGAATGCCACTTGCCACTTGGCTTTTCAGTTTTTAGCAAGTGTCTGGCGTTCGGCTTATGGTGCCAGCTGCCACTTATCTTGCTTAAGTGTCTGGCGCTCGGCTAGAATGCCACTTGCCACTTGGCTTTTCATTTTTATTTTTTTATTTTTAGCAACCCATTGAAGAGGAAAGTTATTTTTATAAATTTTGGGAATTTGCACATTCATACGTACTTGATTGACAACAAACAACACCCAATAAAGCCGAAACTTAGCTTTTATTGGTAGTACCTCTTCAGAGACGTGGCATTCCAGGGCTTGCTGACCAACCTTCCCGCCATGGTTTCTAACGTATATGCCCCCTTGCCTATGACTTCTGTAATTCTGTATGGCCCTTCCCAGGGTGGCATCATTTTTTTTACTATCCCCACCTTTCTTTTCAGAACCAGATCGCCAGGGGCAAAATCTCTGTGTTTTACTCTTTTGTTGTGACTATTCGCCAATACTTGCTGGTATGATGCTAACCTTATTGCTGCAGCGTCCCTCCTTTCGTTTATCATATCGAGGTTCAATATTAACATCTTGTCGTTCTGATCTCGACTCCATGCTAAGCTTCTGATAGTTGGGACCAAGTGCTCAACCGGTATAACCGCCTCGGTACCATATGCCATTGCAAACGGGCTCTCCCCAGTCGGCCGCCTTGGAGTGGTTCTGTAAGCCCATAGGACGTTCGGGAGCTCATCCAACCACTTCCCTTTATGGTCCTCCAGCTTCTTCTTAATGCAGGCGAAAATGGTTCTGTTTGTAATTTCTGCTTACCCATTGGCCTGAGGATGACTTACTGCAGCCAACTTCTGGTTAATTCCATACTCCTCCAGCAACTCTCTTACTTGCTTGCTGTCGAGGTTCGTGCCATTATCCATGACTATTGATCTTGGAACGCCGAAACGGCAGATAATATTGTTCCAAATAAATCGTTTCACATGAGTCTGAGTCACGCTAGGATATGGTTCTGCTTCCACCCACTTAGTGAAGTAATCCGTGGCCAGTAACACATACTTGTTCTGAGCTCTTGCCGTTGGCAGAGGACCGACCACATCCATCCCCCATTGCGCGAAAGGCCATGACGAGGCCATTACGTGCAATTCCTCAGGTGGTTGGTGGATCAATGGTCCATATCGTTGGCATTTATCGCACCTTTGAGAGAACTCCTCCGCATCTCTTGACATGTTCGGCCAGAAATACCCTTGTGTCATTGCTTTATGCGCTAACGATCTTCCCCCAGAATGATTGCCACACACACCTTCATGAATAGCTCGCAATACCTGCTGCGACTCTGCGGGGGTGACACACTTCAAATATGGGCCAGAGTAGGATCTTCTGTACAGCTGGTTATGCACGATGGCGTATTTTGCGGCATTCTTTTTGAGTTTCCTAGCTTCATCCCTTTGCATAGGCAAAACGCCATCTCGAATATAAGTAATGATGGGGTCAATCCAACTTGGTTCATATGGTATGACGTTGACTTGCCAAGGGTCAGAGTCCAAAGGTTCTTCGAAAATAGATGGCTGGGTCAATATTCCTACTGGAATCACCCTCGCCAATGTTTCACCGGAACTCGAAGCACTACATGCTAACCGGTCCGCATCTGCGTTCTGTTCCCTCGGTAACTGTATGAATTCAATCTTTGCAAAGTCCTTGGCTTTATGCAGAACGGCAGAACGATATGCCTCCATCACGTCATCCTTGGTCGCGTACTCACCATTTACCTGCCGAACAATCAACTGTGAGTCACTATAAACAGTCAAACTTCTGACCTGTAGCTCTCTGGCCAACTTTAACCCATTCAGCAACGCCTCGTATTCTGCTTCATTATTGGTGGCTCGGAACTCAAGTCTGAGTGCTTGACTCAAAGAAGTACCCTCTGGGGTTTGCAGTTTAACCCCAATTCCAGCCCCCATCTGGTTAGAGGAGCCATCCACATAAAATTTCCAAGAGTCGTACCTGAGGTCTTCTTCCGTATCTTCAGAGTCACATTCTAGCAGGAAATCGGCTACCGCTTGTCCTTTGACAGCTATTCTCGGCTCATATGTTATGTCAAATGAACTTAACTCTATGGCCCACTTTGTCATTCTGCCCGAGAGTTCTGGCTTGTGCATAAGTACTTTGATTGGAAAAGTTGTTAGAACAGCTATAGGGTGGGATTCGAAATAATGCCTCAACTTTCTTTTTGCGTTTACCAGTGCAAGTATCACCCGTTCGGCCTTCGAGTATTTTCGTTCTGCCTCGGTCATTGTTTTACTGACATAAAATACCGGGTGTTGCACGCCTTCCTTGCAACGAATCAAAACGGCACTTGTCGCAACACTAGATACTCCAAGATACAAAAATAACTTTTCTTCTAGATCCGGGGCTGACAGGACTGGTGGGTTCTGCATATATTCCTTCATATGGGTCAATGCTTGTCGTTGCTCATCTCCCCAGACCTGTCTTCCATGACTCCGAATCGTGTCAAAGAACGGCTTGCAGCGGTCTGACAATTTTGAAATGAATCGACTTAATGCAGCTATTCGTCCTGTGAGGGCTTGCACCTCTCTGATCGTCTTTGGTTCGGCATTCTTAATCAAAGCCTCTGCTTGAGCGGGGCTAACTTCGATGCCTCTGCGGTTGACCACGTGTCCCAAAAACTGACCGGAACTCACACCGAACGAGCACTTGGTTGGATTGAGCCTCATCCCATATCGCCTCAGCACATCAAATATATCTTGCAGATGTTTCAGATGATCATTCTTCTTCCTACTCTTTACCACCATATCATCAATATAGGCTTCCACGATCTTTCCTATTTGATCCTTGAAAATTTTGCTAACAAGTCTTTGATAAGTTGCTCCCGCGTTCTTTAGTCCGAAAGGCATAACTTTGTAGCAGTATGTCCTCGCTCGGTTACAAAAGAAGTTTTTTCTTCATCTGCCGGGTCCATAGGGATCTGATTATAACCTGAATAAGCGTCCAGAAAGGTTAAGCGTTCATACCCGGTGGTAGCATCCACCATTTGATCAATCTTTGGCAGCGGGAAGCTATCCTTCGGACAGGCTTTGTTCAAATTGGTGAAATCAATGCATACTCGCCATTTCCCATTCTTCTTCTGCACGACAACGACGTTGGACAATAAATCCCGCATCAAGCAGCCTATCAACTTCCTCGGCTATGATTTGGTTGCGTTCTGGAGCAAATCTTCATTGCTTCTGTTTTACTGGTTTGAAATTGGGATTGACATTCAAAGAATGACAGGATACGGAGGGATTAATTCCAGGCATGTCTAGGTGACTCCATGCAAATACATCGGCATTGTGAGACAAGAAGTCAGCTAGCTCTTGCCGCTCTTCCCTGGTCAGTTTTATTCCTACTCTGGTAGTTCGTTCTGGCCTGGACTGATCGATCTGCACATCCAGAAGGGGCTCTTCGGACAAGTCAACTGACCCTTCCACCCTGTTCTGCTTGGGCGGAGGTTCCTGTAATTGCTATCTGGGGCTTGCCGGTCGGACGGGCGCCTTTCCTTTCCCAACATACTTTAGTGTGACGGAATAGCACTCTTTGGTTGCAACCTGATCCCCACGAATGTCTATTACCTTATTTCCATCGAGTCCGAGGCACCTCATGACCTGATGCAAAGTTGAGGGTACTCCTTGGACTCTGTGAATCCATCCTCTTCCCATCAGGAGATTGTACGAGGGGTGAATCTCTACAACCACAAAAGTTTCCGTAAGAGTTCGTTCTGCAGCTTGAACTTCTACTTCCACCATTCCGACGGGCTCCACCCTCTTACCATTTTATCCTAACAAGGGATTTCCAGTGGGCTTGAGCCTCTCTGGTTTAATCTTGAGCCGATCGAATGTGTCCCTCGGCATGACATTCGCACTGCTCCCGGGATCGATCAGAACTCTGCGCACCAAGCAGTCCGCCACTGTCAAACTGACTACCAACGGGTCTTCATGGGGGATTTGAACACGCTGCAGGTCTGTCCTGTCGAACTTTATCTGTATCGATGTGATCTGCTGGTGTAGAGTATTCACACTGCTGACCCTTTTCTTCATCTGCGCCTGCCGTAGGCGCGCTCGGAGCAGCTCATCTGAAGCTTCGCTGGGCTCGGGTCGACCGTGGATAGCATTGATTATACGAACTGGTGGTGAATTATGGGAGCTTTGTTTATGGCTCCTTTTTACTTGTTCCATCGGTCGATTCTACTCTGTCGCCGAGCCTTGAACATAACTCGCGAACTCCCCTCTAGCTATTAACATCTCTACTTGCCTTCTCAAATTCCTGCATTCATTAGTCTGATGACCAAAATCGGAATGGAAAGCACAATGTTTAGTCTGATCCCTCTGTTCGAGGGGTTGCCTAATTGGCAGTGGTGGATGAAACTTATCTTTGTTCTCCTGATATAGCCTCGCCAGAGTGACCTTCAGCGGAGTGATCAGCTCTTCCTCCCTGGACCTCTTTTCTGCCTTCCAGGAGGTTTGACGCTGCGGCTGAGCCTGCTTCTGCCTGATCTTTGCCTTGGACTTCTTCTCGGTCGACACGAGCGACGCTGTCCGAGCATTGGCTGCCTCCTCTTCTTCTAGGCGCACAAAGCCGTCGGCTCTTTCATTGAGTTCATCCATAGTCGTCGGCGTGTTCACTACCAGACTGGTATGGAACGGAGTGCCACGTGTTATGGCTAACTTGAAGGCTTGAACTGCTGTAGAAGGGTGGCATTCGATCACCATACTCTTAATGAGATTAAACCTGGTGAGAAAAGCCTGGAGACGTTCATCTTTGTGCTGTCTCATTGTGAATAGGCTTGAGATGTCCTTTGGCGGACGCTTGTTCCCATAGTACTGACTTATGAACCGATCGCACAGATCTCGGAAGCTACCAATGGAGCTCTTAGGCAAGTTCTTGAACCAGCTGAGCGCCGGTCCAGCTAGGCTTGTAGGGAAACATTTGCACATTAAAGCATCGTTTTCCGTATTCAGGGCCATCTTCAACTGGATATGGTACACATGATCGATCGGATCGGTTGTTTCGTCAAACAAAATAAATACTGGCATAGCAAACTTCTTTGGATGAGGGGCATTCAGGATCTCGTCAGTGAAAGGTGAATCAACCGTTCGAGCTGCGGATCGGAGCCCTTCATTCTCTCTTTGGCGCCCAGTGGTAGCTCTGTGGGCTACGGTTCTGCTCTCGGAACCGCGATGAGTGATTGTAGCCATGGAGGGCCGGTAGGACGGATCGAACGACCGTTCCTCTATGGGCTCTCTTTGCCAAGGCGACGCAACTTGGTGGCGATCAACCTCTATCACCTCCTCTCGGTTGAACCTTTCCCGATGCGGATCTAAGGTCATGGCTTCATTCTGTCTGATCTGCTCATGTCGCGGATCAACGTAAGTCGATCCTTCGTGATCCTCAACTCGACGAGCATTTGGTGGCAAATCACGGTGGAGAGCTGACTGACTGTTCTCGTCCTGCTCGCCTTGATGCGCAATATTAGATTGAACACCTCCCTCTCCGGCCGGAGGTGGACGCGAAACCGCGGGCATTTGCTGATGTTGCATTCCAGCTTTCAATTCTGCATTCTCTTTTTTGAGAGCCTCGATCAAGTTCATCAACTCCTCAAGCTTTGTTTGCTGGACAGCCTCCATCGAATTGGAGCTTTCACCTATCATTATTCCTGAACGGAGTAAAGGCATTAATCTCAAGTTCGCGAGTAGATCCGAGTTTTACGAGTGGGAATTTTTCAGATCTGGTTTCGAATTCTCCGAATTATGCTCACGGTTGACGAGATCTGAATTGTTCGAATTCTATATCCGTCAGATCCTGCCACAATCAAACAACTCGTTGTTGCGTAGATCTGAAGCCACTTCTGCCAAAGCTTCAGGAACTAAAATTCCTCCAGAGTAGGTCACAATCGCTCAGATCTGGATCCAACTCCCAAAGATCGAGTCTCGATCCACCGAATTGGTCTGAATCCACGCGATATTAATCATTGATCAACCAATCTTCCATGCGTTCCCACAGACGGCGCCAATTGAAGATACAAGAAATTCCTTTTCCCTTTCTCTCTCTAGAATTCCTGTATTTCAACCAAAAAAATATCTCCTCCTTCTTTCCATTACTTCTCCTATTTATAGATATTTACAAATGTTGATGGACCGCTGGATCTAGGTCCGTTCCTCCATGAGTCCTGGTCATCTTTGGTGGGCTTATGCGCGTTTGGCCCATATGGCAGTGTCTTTCTATGGGTCTGACCCATCTGTACGGACTGAATATCGCGTTTGCAAGTCATATTCGGCCCATGTCATCTCGGGCCTCCTCAACGGTGTTTATGGATTAATGTTTAATTATATACATTGAGTGTTATAGATGATTCATCTTCAAAAAATGACCTCAATGAAAGAATAAAGATCACATCAATGGAAAAGAATGAATACAAAGAGACATGAAGTTGCAAGGAGCCAAATGCAAGTCCATCCAAAGATAGCTTGGACTACAATGAATGAGCAAACAAGCAACTCAAAGAAATTAGAAGAAAGCAAGAATACTTTAAAGCCTAAACAATCATGTATGGATAAAGCTTGAAGAAAGGGGTAAATAATATGGTGAGTATTTAGGATTCAATGTCAAAGTATTTATGAATCTATTTCAAGCTCATCTCTATAGGACCATGCATATCATATCATCATTCATATGCATGTTCCTATATCCACTAGCAATAGATACATGAAGTCATTACTAAAAGAATGAGTTAGTTCAATGTCAAAGTTTTTTGTTTTCAGAAAATTAAAAACAGAAAACTGTACAAAAAATTCTACTTCAGAAAATTCAAAATAGAAAATTATACAAAAAATTTTGCTTGGTTAAGTATTCTAAGAACTGTTTTCTGAAAACGCAGTTATAAAAGGCATATTTTCAGATAACTGTCTTTTATAGTTATCTGGAAACAGTTTTCTATTCTCTAAATTCTTGAGGACTGTTTTCAAAATTACAAACCAAACATACATATCTTTCTCTATATCTTTCTCTAGTCTCTGCAACTACGAGAATCAAAAGTCCAAAACCTATATCAGCATACGCCGCATATCACTATATCGGATTGTCTCTAGTCTCTGCAACTTTTTTTCCATCGCTGATTGCCTATTGTTCAAGTGAACTACAAACGCCAATTTTTATTTTTATTTTTATTTTTTCGAACTGAACAAAGCATTATTGAAGAATTAATCTTTATTTAAAAAACAAAACTACTTGTGTCATGGAATTTAATGTCCTAAACTAAAAAAAAAAAAAATGTTTTTTTTGAATGAAATTTAAATATTTATAACTTTTCTAACAAAATGATTTTACTTTAGATATATTTTGAATTTTGTTTTTCTTATTTTTCGCATAATGGCCAAAGTTATAATATAAATTATATATTTATTAAATACATTATATAATTAATAATTAAAAAATTTAAACGTGACAGTCTCTATAAATACATTTATGAGTAATAGGTAATAATTAAACTTTTCAAACGTTCTTTACAAATATATATTTCAATTAATTACAATTTTATAGCAAGTCACGCCAACTTCTCCATCATTGATCATTGAGTAAAGTTATCCCTAATTGATCAATCTATTAATAAGCAAGGACGGAGCTAATGAAGGCCCGAGGGCACGTGGCCCGCACTCTATAATATATGTAGTAATATTTTTTTTTTCAATTTTTTCCATATATATATATATATATATATATATATATATATATATATAAATTTGCAGTGCCCCCTTAAATTTTGTGATTCCTAAAATTATCTCTTTATTTTTTCTTTTTTCTCTTCAAATTCCTTAACAAAAAAGTCAAAATTTCCTTCTTCAATTGAAACTTTATAACTTTTTCTTTTATTTTTTATTTTTTATTTTTTATTTTTTTTTCTAGTATTAAAATCTTGTTTTTAATGTGCATATTTGAATAATTTTCTTCTTTTTTTTGCCTTTTAAATTTTATAGTTGTTATATATATATATATATATATATATATATATATATATATATATATATACACTCCGTATTATTATTATTATTTTTTGGGTAGCCGTGCCCCCTCACTTGAAATCCTGGTTCCGTCCCTGTTAGTAAGTTACGCCAACATTGATCATTGAGTACGTAATAAGATTGAGTGAATTATATCCATTGCCTTTGGATTAATGTGAGATGATTTTATAAGAATTAATTTTCTAAGGTAATTGATATAAAAATAAAAAATAAAAAATCCTAAGAACTAGACATCACCATGTAAAATAATAATAATAATAATAAATAAATAAATCCAAGTTTGGGTCATATATACTATGACAAGGGTTATTATAAGGTTGGTATTTTAGCTTTTGGGGACCGTACTTCTCTAAGGCCCAAAAAAATATCTCCCCAAAATTTTGGGGGCGGAAAATATTAGCGCCATTAGCCCAGCTTTTCATGAATTGAAACTCAAATAACACTTCTGCTCTCTCACAGCCCAACAGCCCAAGACAAATAAGATCCACACCTTTGCTTTCTCTCTGCTCTCTCTCAAAAGGAAAACGGTGCCCTAGGTTTCTCTCCCTGTATTCGACATCAAACTGAAGCCCCAATCCTTCAATCCTTTAGGTACTCGTAATCTCTTGGTTCAAATCTCTCTTCGGCCATATACCAGGTAATAGGTCTTTCTTTCTCTCAATCTGTCTCACTATATATATATATCACACACAAACACAACCACACACACACGCGCACGTTCTCTATAGAGATGAGAATGATTTTTCTTGATCTTTTTCGTTATTGTTGTTAATGAAGTTTTTGATTAGAGTTTTTGTTTATTGTTGTTATTGAGTTTTTGATTTTAGACTTAAATCTTCTTTTTGCATTGTTCCAATCCTATACTTTGATCAGCCATTCTGCCCTCCATGGATGATAGGCCACTAGAAATAATAATAATAATTTTAGGGCAAATCATTTCACCTTCCCCAATCGCCTCCATCTCTATTCTCGTTCTCAACTCTGAACTTGCCCTCTCTTTATCTCTGCAACTGCAAACTACAAAATCTACAAGAATCAGAAGTTCAAAACCCACATACTTCAGTTTCTCTATCTGTTTGCAAGAATCAAAAGTTCAAAATCTATTACCTATATCCAAACCCATATCCACATATCATTTCAGATTGTTCAAAAAATCAAAACCCATATATTTCAATTTCCATCATCAGCTATTCCAGTTCGGGTTCACCGTTCGTAAGCTTCAGCCGCTGGCCCGCTATCTCTCAACTCTCAAGCTTGCCCCTCTCTCTCTCTGCAACTGCTAACTTGTATGTACGAGTTTTGTCTTAAATTTTTTTTTTTCCCCTAAATTAATTAATCAAGGTCTGTAATTCTTGTTTTGCAAACTAAATCCTATTTAGTGAAATTTTTTATGATCTTTTTTATATAATTTTTATTTTATTTTATCAATTTTAGTTATAAATATTTGTGAAAATAATACTTATCAAAAAAAATATTTGTGAAAATAATGACTGAGACAGGATCTCCTTTGCAGGATTTGAAAGACTAATTGGTAAGTTTGGGTTGAACTTGAGTCTTGAACAAGCTGAAGGCCCTTATCGTGGATTATAATTTTTACAATTACAGCATCCTATGGTCCTACCATCTTTTAGAGTGCTTACATCACTTCAGACTGGTAAGTCATTTCTTCAATTATTTAATATATATATATATTGAAACTGTGACAAAACAATGGTCTCAATCTAAGTTACGTTTGAGGAAGGTTGCTAGAATTTGAAAGGCTTGTACTATATATTTTGTTTATGGCAAAAGAATGAAGTACAAATAATATTGTCTTTGAAATATATGGAATCTATTGAGTAAATACAAACATGGATATACACTCCTTCAAACTTTTACGAAAGTTTGAACTCCAAATAGGTAATTTAATGCAAAGATGAAACTGCCAATTTCTTGACTATTTTTGTGAATTAACCTTTGATATTAATGTATCACTTTATTGAGTATAAAAGTAAATTAGGGGTATTTAGAACAACATTTAGTCTTACCTATGGAATGTTATAGAAAATGACTAAGTATACTGGCAGTGAGTATTGATGTTGCTACTCTTGGCATGTTTAGATCTGATATTTGATTGTCTATTACTCTATTTTCATTTACAATGAGCAATACTAGTGGGTGTGATATATATTTATAATCACCAATATCAGATTGCTGGATTCACCTCTATATAGTCATGATTACGAGTTGTGGTCTTCAACAAAGTCTCAGACATAATTTGTACTAAATAATTATAGTCATTTTTGTAAACTAAAATAACCACTTTTATATACACATGTGATAGTTAGGTATCATCAAGCTAGAAGATCTGGAAATTTAGTTCCGGCATTAGTTTACTGCTTTTTAGTAGGAGTACATTTTTTTTTTGATAAGTAGTACATTTTTTTTTTTTTTGCATATCTAGATGGAGATTGTTGCAGCTCATTTATCCATGAAAATTTTAAAACCCACACCTGCACACTATAGATAGAGACTTATTTTACCATATTGTGAGGTGAAAAAAGGGGCAACATTTGGCGATTGTTCAAAGCTCTAACACAGAAATCGATAAGAGTCATTTTTTAAAATATGGTTAGTACCAAAGGATGTGGAAATGCAAAAAGTTTGTGGTGCTACGGACGTATGTTGTTGCTGTGCTCTTTTTGTTCAGTTTCTCTCCACATTTTTAGTTTGGATTGGGCCTGTACATGATTGACAGTGGAAGTGAAGAAGTTAATTATATTAAAAGAGAATTCTAACTTAAAAGAGGAATGCTTGATCAGATAAAGTTTGTGGGAGGTATTCGCAATTGTGTTGTTTCTACTTTATATTAATGTTTGATTTTGGTTCTGCTCTATATTTAGACAAATTTGTAGAAGATTACCAGTTCTTTTGACTCAATCAAGTAGTTCTATTTATTTTTGATTGGAGTATAACTTAGAAGTGATTGACTTATTATATTAGATCTTTTCAAATATATTTTTTTTACACTAGTTGGGACTATTTATTGTTTGAAATGATTGAAGTTTGTTCAATTAGTTGTTGATGCCATTACTAGGTTGAGTTGGTGGATTGCTTAATTAATATTTTGATATGTGAAATAATCAATTCTATATCACTTAGAATTTACTTAATGATGAATAATAGAATTTGTAATCTAGAATTTGGTACATTGATGTTTTAATATAGTAATATTATACAATGGTCGTATTGGTCATTTATTTATTTATTTATTTTTATTTTTATTTATTATTATTATTTTTTTGACATAGGCACTAATTGTATTTATTCATTGTTTGATTTGCAGATTTTTGGATGGGCTCATGCTACAAGACTTCAAGCTCCTTTTGTTTAAGATGGTTTTAAGTAGTGTATGTTCAGGTCTTTGAACCCTTTATTTAGGAATCTATAGCTCATTTTTGTCTAAGATCTTGAAACATTTTATTTAAGATACTAGCTTGTTTTGGTCCAAATTATTGGAGTTGAAATTGTTTTAGATGCTAAGACTTATTTTTTTTATGCGATGGGCTTTATTATGTATGTTGTAAACAATACATTTTTTGGTTGGTGTAATTTATGCAATATTAAGTATTTATTTGTTTGCATAATCGTGTTGATGTGATAATTTTTTTTTTTTTTTTTGAAATTATTTCTTTTGTTTATAATGTTAATAATTTACAGGTTTGTCACAAATTTTTATCGTACCATGATAAATATGTGGTCTATTTTTGGTATTTGCCACAATATATATTTTTGGCTATTAAATTCAATTTTATTTTATTAATAATAAACTCCGTGGCTTATTTTGAATAATTTCCACGACATATATTCGTGGGAAATTAAAATTATAGCCACGAAAAAACTTTGTGGCTTATTTTGGATATTTGCCATGACATATATTCGTGGGTAATTAAAATTATAGTCATGAAAAAACTTTGTGGCCTATTTTGGATATTTGCCATGACATATATTCGTGGGCAATTAAATTTATAGCCACGAATAAATTTCGTAGGAAAATACCTATTTTACCACGATAAATATTTTCGTGGCATAATGATTGAATTAACTACGATTAATTCCTATATCGGGATTGCTACTTGTCACGAAAGTATTATTATTTAGCCACGAAATAGCTTGTGGCGAAATGAGGTATTTTACCACGAGTTCAAATTTTGTGGCAAAAGTTTCACATTTTGCCACGAAAAATTTTAGTCGTGGTTATTGGCAATCTGTGACGGGCCTACTCCCACAACTGAGCCACGAGGCTATTTCTTGTGGCTAAAAGGCTTTCGCCACGAAATTTGAAAGCTTTTGCCACGAAGTGTCTTGTGGCAAGAACTCTAATTTCTTGTAGTGTTTTTTACGATAGAGGCAGAGTTTATTACAGCAATGGAAGCGACTAAAGAGTTGCTATGGGCAAAGAAGTTCTTGAGAGAACTTGGTTTCAAGCAGCAGAGGTATGTGTTGTTTTTGTGATAGCCAGAGTGCTATTCATCTTGCTAAGAATTCCAGTTTCTATGCAAGATCTAAGCACATTGATGTACAATACCATTGGATCAGAGATGCGTTGAACAATAAGTTACTTGAACTTGAGAAGGTTCAGACTGATGATAATGGTTCTGATATGTTGACAAAGACCCTACTAAAAGAAAAGCTTGAAGTTTGTTGTTCGATCGCTGGGATAACGATTCCCTTCACATAGTCGGAAAAGGGGAGATTTGTTGGGTTTATTTCCTTCTATATGGAGGAAAGCCCAAGTGAGTTTTATTAAAGCCCAAAGCCTAGCCCTTTAGGATGAATAACCCTAAGGAAGTCAAGAAAAATAGAGGATGTGAGATCAGTCGTAACTTTCCTAAGAAAGAGAGGGAAAACGCAGTTTTTTCATATATTGCCCAGATTTCAGCAAAACTCTAATTCTACTTCGTTCGTGGTTCGATCGAGCTGAAATTTGGAGGAGAGGTTCATGACTCAATGAGCTACAATCTGAACGGTGGAGATTGGATTTTGAGCTCGGGAGTTGGGGTTCGTGCCCATGAACAGTAACCAGGTTTATGGTATATTCTTTCCAATTCTCTTTGTTTTTTGCCAAGATTCGTGATATTTTGAAGAGATGTATTGTAGCCTCTAATTGTGATTAGAGAAGACTTTGTGTACCCATTATTTGGTTGATAATGGAGATTTCAACCGGACTAGGTCCCGTGGTTTTTCTTCCTCACACTAGGGAAATTTTCTATGTAAAAAATTGCTTATGTTTTTGTGTCTTGGTGTGATTGATTATATTTCTATTATTTTCAGCACATATAAAAATAGAGATACACTATATTTGCTTGCATATAGGGAAAAGAGTTATTCCGCTGTATTTGTTTATTGTTATCTCTCCGGCCCAACAAATCCCACCAATGTTTTTGTTCAAAATTTTCTTCTCCATATAAACAATTCTCTCACAAAGAGAAATTTGTTATGATTAAAGAATAATGTTACTTAAAAGAACATTAAACCAACTAAATATTCTAAAACAAAAAATATTGATAATTTGACTCTACCGAAGATTGAATACTCAACTTTCGTTCTTAAAGAGAAAAACTTATATCATCAAAGCTAATATCCATTATTGGTAGTTATTATAATTGTTTGTAACCATTGCTTTGGAAAACTTTTAGTAGAGAATGCTTCCGGGCTCACTATCGTTTGACATAATTGTTAGTTATAATAAACACAGAGAATCATGATCTCTTGCTCATGGAAAAAATTTCTCTACACTATACATAATAATCATTAGATATGATTTAAGTATAAAATAAATAATTATATAAAAAATGAAACAATGAAAGATGTGATCAGTTCTGGAAACCAAACACACCTTCTACATGTAAAGACTACAATACTGTCTTGCTTTTCAAAATAGAAGGTTGAAAATTCAAATTTTCATAAAGGCAAGTGAGTGTTAAAAAAATTAAAAAATAAAATAACCGGAAGAGATTGGCTTAGTTGCTAAAGCCTTGGGCCTTAGTGTCTCATGAACCATCAGGCCTCATGATCAATTCATTTTAGGTACAAACAATTTCTTAAGAGTCACGCTAGTAAACGTAGTCCGATCTTTATCCAATATTTGTGGGAAGCCTATGTTTCATAGATTTTGCTATGAACAACCTTGCAAACCAAATTAAATAAAAATTTCACATCTTTCATATATACATATATATATATATATGAAAGATGTGAAATTTTTATTTAATTTGGTTTGCAAGGTAAGCCAACATAAATCTTGATACATTGCACCACTTAGGGTTTCGACCTTCAACCTCTCTTTAGGAAGGACAAGTGATCCTGTCCATCCGTAGGACCAACGGTTTGGTGGTGTGAAAGCAGTAGTAGATAGCTGAAGTATTCCCCTTAGATATTCCACGTGGGATGAGATTAATGCCGGTCTGTGCTCAAGTGGCTGAAATTGACCGCAAGAAAATTCCTCGTTGCTTCAAATTTTCATAATGAAAAAATTTACATGACATTTCAATAAATGTTGTGTCTCATAAATGAGAACGCAATTCCAAGTTACTACATATGAGAATTAATCGCATAAAGACTGTTTACGTATATTGATATGTTTTATAAAGTTGACAGAATTTTTTCTTCATGTGCCTAAAAGTCGCGTCAAGTACAATTCCATAAACAAAAGACAAAGTCTTTGGAAGTGTATTTCAAAAAGTCAAAGGTAATTTAAAGCTTGTTTATGTATATTTTCTACCATTGTCCAAGTCAGTTCAAAGTTTACTGTATGCAAAGCTGGTGAATCCCACCATGTTGACTTTAAAAGACTTCCAAAATCCCTACTTTTACTTCTTCTTTTCTGGTAGAATATCTCATCAGTGGAACAAAAACCATTAAATAACATAATGATGTAGCGTTTGGATCATCAAAAGATTAAATTGGCGAGCTGATACATTTTTTTGGGATAATTTTGACGTGATGAAAGATCCTAATTTAATTCGAAACGGCCTAACTCGTAAAAATTAGCACATTTGCTGTTGAGGTAGGGTGCCTCTCTGCGGAATTCATTCCATTTTCCAAATTTTAAATATTTAGGAATTTTGGTTTATTTTTATTTTTACAGAATTTTTGGAGAATGTTTTTTTTACAATTTTTGGAGAAAGTTTTTACACAATTTTTGGAAAAAGTAGGCAAATATAATGAGTTATACAAAAAAGATTTTAGAGCTGAGTATGTAGAATGATTCTTTTTACTGGTAGCAAACAAATTTTCTAACCCATGAGAAATATAGTGTGAACTCTGTCGATCAACAATGTTAGCATGGACAAACTCACGTTATTAATTTACACAAAATTGTCTCCTCAAATTTAAATACGAATGGCCACGCTTAGCATTCAAGATTCAATTAATTACCACGTCACTAAGTACCCCACTCACCCCTCTTTAACTAAATATTTGTGAAAGTCAATCAAATTGACTAGGTACATATTTAATTTTTCTTTTTTTAAAAAAAAAAATTAAAAATTAAAAAATAAAGAAGAGCGACTAGGCACATGCTATTACAGAGTGAATTCCAAACTGATGGCCTAGAACAAAGGCTGGTCATGTTCTACGTACATATTCGTTGATGTGTGCTTTCACGCGGTGTTTAATTGTAAATTTTGTTACCCGATCCAGCACTTCAAATACAAACCCTTCCTATCTCACCAAGACAAACATAACCTAGCTACCAACAATTAATCTTGTTCTTGTTATAGTTCATCCATTGTACGTGTAACTTCTCATTTCACTTTCATTCTCTCCTCTCTAGAATATTAAACATCATGGAACTTGAGGAACCCATGTTGAAAAAGACTCTTGGTAACCAAAAGTTGGAATGGAATCTGCAAACGAAGACAAGCAGTCGTCAAGTTTCTGATCATGATGCCGACATCGGATTGGAATCGTTTAAGATGCTCGCAAATGATGTCCCGAGTGGCCCTCCAGAGATGAAACTAGCATGGTTGCGGTCTCAAGTCATCGGCAGTGATGTGGAGTTCAACACTCCTTTTGGAAAACGTCGGCTTACCTATGCCGACTACACTGCCTCCGGCCGATGTCTTCACTACATTGAGAACTACATCATCAACAATGTTCTTCCAATTTATGGTTAGTTAGTTATCATTTTTAATGTTTGTGGCTATTAACTTCTCTACTAAAATAAAATTAACATTTTTCCATTGGTGTTAAAAGGGAATAGTCATACAAGTGACAGTTATGTGGGGCATCAAACTACAACAATGGTGCATGAAGCAAGTAAGTATGTCAAGTCTTGCTTAGGGGGAAAATATGAAGATGCAATCCTGTTTGTTGGCTCCGGCACAACGGCAGCCATTAAACGGCTTCAAGAAGTTATGGGAATTGCTGTTGCATCAACTATGAAGAATAGGGTGTTGAATAGCCTAAGGGATGAAGAAAGATGGGTCGTTTTTGTTGGGCCATATGAACATCACTCGAACCTTCTGTCGTGGCGCCAAAGCTTAGTAGAAGTTGTAGAGATTGGTCTTGATGAAAATGGCTTAATCAACATTAAAGCTCTAACGCACCAACTCGAGTTATACCAGCAGACAAATCGTCCTATGTTGGGTTCTTTCTCAGCTTGCAGTAATGTCACCGGAATTTATACTGACACGCGTTCCCTTGCTTCACTTCTCCATCAATATGGTGCTTTCGCATGCTTTGATTTTGCTGCAAGGTACGTAAATTTTTGCTTTTCGTATGTTTC